ATTAACCTCGAAAGTCTAAAAGACCAGGCCAAGTCACTAAGAATGCAAACGTGCCAACCAAATGTCCAAAATCCCCGTGGAACGGTGGAACTAGACGCAACCCGGGGGAAAGAAATGTCTCACCAGGATCGCAACGTACAGTGACGATCATCGAACGGTTTTTTGCACCGACTAACTTATAATGGACGTCGCACCCCAGCTTTCCCCAGGACTTCCAGCCCGCTTCCCACCCCGCTCCGGATTGATGATGCGGCGCTCGAGAATTTCCCGGTCGCGTCGGCTATTGGGAGAGAGTGTGTGATAAGCCGACTGGCGTTCAGCACCGTTAATTTGGAGAGTACTCAAGGGATTTAGCTGTAAGAAACAAGAAGTCTGGGTGTTTCTTGCTGCGAAATCTGCATGTGTCCTACTTCTCGCAAGAACAAACGTCACGTCAATTGTCGACTGTCGCTCTGCGCTATGTCAACTGCTACAAACGGAGCGTTTCCCGTTGTCTAGTGTTACCTAGCACATGAATCGCTCGTTGCACAAGAGGCACAAGCACAAACATAATTATCCGGCGATGTCGATAATTTGGCGGCTGACTGATCCGTGGCTTGCGAACTTGTCACGGCGTCAGTTCTGGAGGATAAGCGCCATTCAACTCCAACAAAATGGTGGAGGATGGTGCTGGCGTGTGTATTATCTATGCTGGACTGTAGCGCTTATTGGAGTTTCATAGCAAAGACTGTACCAGAGATGATATCGCAGTGGCGGTACAGTTCCTTCGCTCATGGTAGGACTCGGAAGGTTTTGAGAACCCGGAGCGAAGGAACCTTAGATCCTCCGTGTGACCTCCCACCTCTTCGGTCTCTTGACCGCAGCAAAATTTGATTTCGAAGCAATTTTACGTAGACGCTCACGTTGCCGCGGTTGAAGATTGGCTGGTGAGCACTACTGACTAGATGTCGGCGTGAGATTTCGGCTGTGCCATATTCTCCGTTCGGCCTAGGGCTCCCTCCGCCACGGTCAGCAACGCCGGGATTTTAGACTGTCGCGGCTATGCTTTGCACTTTTTTGCTTACTACCCTGTCATGGTCCTGTTTTCTCTTTTGAAATTCTAGTCAATGAATCGACATACGGTTTGCAACATGAAATGCTTTCGAACGGGTGAAAGGCCCTTGGCGTCAAGCAGCACGAAAATAACACGAAGCGAGAGACTTACAGCAACCGAGCCTAGGCGGCTGTTGATTGTCAACTATGTTTTTTTTTTTTTTTGCCAATGAGAACCCATGTTCGTTTCCATCTGAGTGTCTTGGAAGACGAGAATCCGTCAGTCGCCGCATTTCTCCGCCATGCAAGTGTCCTGATTATGTACCTAGACATTTCCGCTGGCTCTTGTGGTTCCTCTTTGTTACTTTGCCTCCTCATCCGCATTCCGCCCTCTTGACACTCTCTCTCAAGCATGCGCGCGTATTGTTGTCTTGGCACCTTTCAATCAACCTGGCTCGAGTGGGCTTTTAGAGGATCTTCATCTGACGGGGTGCCGGAATCTGACTCTCTTTCACCTTCTTTCGTCAACCCATACAGGTACTGGGGCACACCCACACACCCACACACCCAGTCCGATGGGCGTGGGGACTTCTTTCTTCCCTCTTTGGCGGAATCTCTGAATAGCCTGGACTGGCCATCGCTTGACCCAAGAGACCAAGGACTCAAGCTATGCGGGCCAAAGTGCCGTGTGGAGGCGAACTCCTTGGCCGCAGCAAGTACACTGTTTGTCAGGCCCAGCCTCGTGAGATGGCGGCGTCTGCTTGGGAGGAGTGCGTTTTCCCTCTCCGATTCCGGGTCCTATCTTTGCCCCGGACTGGAGCGGGCACCACTTGAGGGATCCGTCAAGATCTATCTCCCGGAGGACCGAAAGGTAGGATAAAGAGGTCCTCCGTCCCCCTTCTTCCTGGAGCTTGCTGCTCACTATCCTTGAGGCCTTTCTTTCTCTCTGCCGCTCTTGAGTAAAACTTTAATACTGCTTCTATTCTAATAAGAGCCCATTCTCAGGCCTGCTCAAATTCCGACTTACACCAACATACCAAGAACCATGAAATCCTCCCTCCTCCTCCCCTTCGTGACCCTGGCCTCGGCCATCTGCCACCACCGCACATCGCTCTACCGCCGAAGCCACGGCGGCATTGCGGCCCGCGGCGAGGACGGCCTGGTCGAGGTCGCAAAGTTCGGCTACGACGACCTCACGGGTCCTCTCAACTGGCACGGCCACAACAACCAGTCGTCCAAGTGCGCCACGGGCGCCTGGCAGAGCCCCATCAACCTCAACGATACCTCGGCGACGCTCGTCGCCGGCACGAGCTTGACGTTTGACGTGCCCAACCTGCCTCACGGTGCCGCGTTTGAGAATCTGGGAAGCACGCTCGAGGTCGTGGCTGAGAATGGCACGCTGACGAGGCGCGGACGCAAGTTTCACCTGAGGCAGTTCCATTTCCACACGCCTAGCGAGCATAGGGTCGATAGCGAGTACTTCCCCATGGAGGTCCATTTTGTGTTCGAGGCCGACGAGCAGCAGCTGAAGAGTGAGCCTCCCCTTCCCTTCCCCTCATTACTCTACGAGTTCCTCGTTCTCGTCAAAACAATGAGCCAAGAAACCCAACTTGTACAAACTTGCTTTTACGGTTTCTTGTTTACTGTTCAGATATGGAGACCTGTGGATCGTAAGGGTAGAGACTGGAGAAACCAAAGCGAATGACTGACTAACTGGTTCCCCTTTCCCCCATAGACTCCACCGGACCCAGCAACTCCGTCGTGGGGTTCCTCATCGAAGTCGACAACAGCGCGCCCTCGCCCTTCCTGGCCAACGTCTTTGCCCACCTCGACGAGGTCGAGAAGCCGGGCTCGCACGCCGAGACCGGAGAGCTGGACTTTGGCGAGCTAAAGCGCCTCTTGGAAGGATCCGACGTCTACCAGTACGACGGCTCCCTCACGACGCCGCCGTGCACCGAGGGCATCGCGTGGAACGTCGTGGCGGAGCCGTTGAGGGTCGACGACGTGACGTACCGCGCTGCTAAGAAAGTGATGAAGTTTAACTCGCGGTATACGCAGAACGTGCCCGGGCAGAGGAACTTGTTGGAGAACTCGAGGGTTATGCTCAATGCCATGTCCCCGTGAGAGAGGGGGCATTGGCTGGGAGGTGGCTACAGGCTATGACTAGACCGATCTGGGGATTACCTGACTCTTGGGTCAGAGGGGTAGGCGGGATTTAGAGATGTGGAGGAAGTAACGGGATTTGGGGTGCGTGTGGGTTATTACATCTGGTTGTGCGAATTTCTCGGGGTTGGGTGGCTCATGATGTGGATCTCACGGAGACGGAGTTTTGGCTCAATTGGCGTTTATGAAGGGGACTTTAATGTATGGACTTGCATACAGATGTGAGAAATGACATTAGTAGGAGGGAGGTTGGCGAGCATATACATTGGACGGATACACATGGTTGGTCATACAGATGCGGGAGAAGACGGCTCGATGTGGTGAGAGCGTATGTAAGTAGGTAGATACGGATACAGTGTACAGATCTCACAATGCAATTTACGCATGGGCAGGGTTCACGTTTCTCGGCATGGACGAAGCACAGAGTCCCAAAAGATAAGAGCAATTATTGTGAAACTTAAATGTATTGCGTTGTATTGTAATGAACAAAATTCAACTCCATGGTATCTTTCCTTGAACGCCTTTCGAGTACCAGTCATTATCGCCCACGGATTCCGCGCTCATGCAAGAGTCATGTTCTCAGATGCTCTGCCCATAAACTGTGCCAGAGACGTCTTTCCCCTTCTTCAATGAGGTCGTCTCTTCGCCAAAGTCCCCCGGATTTGCGGCCATGACTTTGTCCGCCTTCTCCGTTGCATGACGAAGCAAAACACACAGAAACATTGGCGGGACGTCGTATTTGGCTCGAGTAAGAGCAAATCGTATCCGCATGCAGGTTGTGAAAGAAAAAAGCAATGGACGACATGGACGGACATTGACCGGAGCGATGTCACGCTCTTGGGCCCGTCTAGTTTTCGTCCTGGTTCCTTTCTCCGCAATACGGCGGCGGCGTACATGAAGCATCCTAACCCCGGACAGACTGACAACTTGATGGGACCATTCGCACCTCAAGGGTGGAAAAGAAGGGAGGCTGCTATTGTGCTCGTATCCGTAAAAGTGATGAAAGGTCCAATTGCGAAGCGACGGAAGAGGTTGACGACGCCATCGTGTGATTGGTGGCCCGTTTTGATGGCCCCTGGTCCGATTCAACGGTTTTCACTTGGCACAATTCAAGCTCTTTCTGCTACTCGTTGGCGCGAACTTTGCCAAGACACCGGAATGGAGATGTGAGAGGTTTGGCCAGAGGGATTGGGTACGCGGACTATGATGCTCATGTGGAGTGTAGAGTGGAGATGGAAATGGACCATTGACTCCAAGTCTTGTCTTGCGTGACGTGACCGCGGAGGCGATTGTGGGAGGTCGGGGCACGCAAGTTTGCAGCGATGAATGCAACTTTCCCAATGGGTCTCCTGGTCTTGGCTCTCGGCATGGCATGCACGTCTCGGCTATTCCTGCCTCCCCATCACCCCAGCCTGCTGCTGCCTGCATCTATCTTTCACTCTGCGGACTTTTGTTCTTGCAATGGGCAATGGAGCAAACACAGAATGAGGCAGGACAGAGACGGGCAGGGGGGTTGGAGAGCTGGGCATCGGATACCGAATTTTGCGGTTTCCCGCTTGGCGTCGGAAGCCGCGTGCCGGTTCCTTGGGCCTTATGGGGCCCCACCGGTCTCGCCGATTCCTTGGCGGGGCTTTCGCGGTCCGATCGCGTGCGGCGACGGCGAAGGGACTGCGGGTTGCTGCCGACCAAAGTTGGTGGTTGTTTTTTGGTATCGGTGCTTCATGTCAATTCCTGAAAAGGCCCTCGTGATGTACGATTTGGGGGTTTTCTCTCGGAACATTAAGCACCTCAACTCGATGAACAACCTAGTCCCGCTTGAAGACGCTGCGTGCCATATCCGTGAAAGAACGGCCGCCAAAGAGGAACTGCGAGCTGTGGCGCCCGCAGTGGGTGTAGACGTTCACGGTCTGGGAGTGGGAAGACTTGCGCTTCGAGGGGCGCGGGCAGTCTGTAGAGACTGCTCTTCTGTGGGTGAAGGTCTCTGAGCCTGCCGAGATGGAGCTTGTGTCTGAGCCGGCGCGGCTGCTCTTGGGACGGGGAGCGTCGAAGTTGGGGGTGTTGAGGGAAGACATGGTGTTAGAGGTTGATGTCTTTTGATGACGTATGTTCTGTTTGTTTGTTTATCTGGAAGTCGATTTCTTCAACAATTGGATGAATGAGTTAAAGATTGGATGGTGATTGTACAATGCAATGATGGACTCGTCCAGACCGTGGGGGAGCCGTCCTTAAATGCTTGAGGGGCTCGTCATTGCTGGATACGGCTACACGGCGATGGTTTCTTGGCTTCCTGCTTACGACCGCTTGGTCGGCATGGATTCACGACGCCTGGTCTAAGAATGCTGTGCCCCGAGTGGCCGCTTGCCGACTTGGCCGGGTTGCCGGTCGATAGCAGCCCCACACAAGGGCCGGTCTGCTGGACACGGTTTACCCCATTGATGTGACGCCGCGACCGAATGCGAGCCGCGGAGTGCGTGAGGTGGGACTTGGCCTCGTAAGGCAACAGCTAATGCAGGTGCGCTCCCCTTGTGCTCGTTCGCCATGACATGCTTCCGCATTCGTAGGTAGCGTACCCGTACGACGCCAATGGCTGTCTTTACGCGAGGATCTGCAAACTCGGCTGATCGTTTGGCGACGGCCTCAAAACTGGCATGCTGACACAAGGGATAGGGCTTAACTGTAAATTTTGAGGCCCCTCGAATATACGCCGGAAGAAGCAATAATAGGTTTCCCTTCCCCGTTGTCCAAGCCTCATAATCTGTCTCGCCAGAGCCTCGTTCACTCAAGCAAGAAACGAGGAAACGTGGGCAAGGTAACGGGCCGCATATGCACGCATTGCATGGTTCGACCTCGTGACTATGAACGACTTCTCGGTGTTGGCGAATAGGACGGTATCTCGGCACGGCAGCGTCGTCAGCTTGGTCGGTTTAGTCATACGCCGTACCGAAGTTCGGACGACGCCGATGGTTTAGCGCCGTTTGTGGCTCTCGGCGCCGCGGCACGTGATGCTTGTTTATATGGATGCCTGCTGAGTCGGGCGCACCGAAAATACTCAGGCCGCAAGGCATAATTGTAAGGTAGGTATCTGTATCCACCACACCCGTGACCCCAACCAGACCAGAGAGAGTGACAAGAAGGTGACAGAATAGGACACCAGTCAACAACGATTGTATACTTCCTAACTTCTTTTCTCTTTCTATCATCTCTCTTAGACCTTAATCTGCTATCACTTTCGTCTTGTATGCAATCACTGATGTCACTCTTCGAAGAAAGAAAAGGAATAAGAATAGTAGGAAAAGGGATAGAGTACATAGACCGGCATGCGATTATGTCAGCCACCTGAGTGACAAATAACATGCCAAGCCAGGGGCACCAGCCACGTTCCCTGGCCACGTTCCTGACCTTGGCGCCCGGAAGCTTAAGCCTGCGGGTTAGGTACCCCAGATTCGGAGCCATAGGGCTGATGGAAGGGTCGACTTGGTGAAGCTTGAAATCGCGCCGTCATTGAGAGAGTAATTATGAATAAGGTGGTCTTTTTCCGGTTCAGTGGTGCTGGAAATTGGACGAGTTGGTTGAGATACTCAGGCGACCCATATACCGAAAGTTGGCACCACCAAAACCCGTCCTTCGTTACCAACAACAACTGATGCTCATAGACGAGCATTTTGAGGCCCGAATGCGATGGAAAATTGAGATATGACATCATTGGCATTGATCGGTCATTGTCAGGCGCATCTATGCGCCGCGGCTTCTCATTCACCCAAAAAGTGAGCGGGTTGGTCATGGCTGTCTGACTTGCGTTCCCTTTGAGTAATAAGACGCAGTGGCCCGAAGTTGCACTTTACTCAAGGGCTCTTGACGTCTCTCTTTCGAAATACAATAATGCGGTCGCGACAATGCGACAATTTGTGGTGGACACTCATCGCCGCCCACTTACCCCGGGCCCGACTTTTTTAACCTCTTGCGCCGAGGAGCACCGTCAATCCTTGCAAAGTGATTGACATGCTTCAGACTTTCCACAGGTAGAGACGAACATCGGTTGACAGAGCCGCTGACTGTGCTCGGGGAGCAACCAATCGAACGAACAGTCGGATTTGTTCATGCCAACGGCAGAGAATTCCAAAATGCAGATTCCGTTCGGATTGAGGCCCCTCCACGAATGCAGTTGAGGTGGATTGAGGAAACAATTGGGTCCACACTCCCCAAAGCGGAAGTCTTGTAGCCTGAGAGCGTCGAGCGCTCGGACCATTTGTGGCTGGTGGGTGCTGCACGTGAGACCCACTCTACAGACTCTCGTCCTTCCTCGCCCGAGTGAATGGCGCGCAACTACGCGCTGTGGTGATTTTTCAGCGAATCCGACTTTGTTATCACCAGGTGGTGTTTTCATTCCTCGCTGTGCATTATCGCCAGCGAATATTGTCGTCGACATCCAGGTCGACTCAACTTTTTGCGAACGGATTGCTCAGAGGCCAATGGCGTTGTGCCGCGCAAACACCTTTGCCTAACGCCTCCATTGTTCTTGCACATCACTCTCCCTGAGCGCTAAGACACTGGTATGGCCTTCCTACTTCCCTTCACGTTCTCAGTCGCTGCAATGAAGTTCTGGATTGATACCGTTTTCTTCCGTTGAAACTCTTCTACATATTTTCCTTGTCTGCATGTTGATGCTAATCATCAGTGTCCAGACCTGGGCGCGAGGTAGCTACCTAGGCAGCAAGCAGTAGCTTTCCCCGGCGTGCACGACGCTCAAAGAACACGATACCGACCCTTTCAACCACCATACATCGTCTAATTCCTCAATTGAGTCACAATGCCGTCGAAACGAAAGCGCGACATCGAGGATTTCGATCCTAACAAGTCGGATTCCGATGACGAGAACTTCGAGCCCGGCGCGGATGGCCCCCCCGTTCGCACCAAGAAACGATCGCGCGGATCCAAGAGTCAAAGGAACGCTGGTGGCGGTGGACGGCGCCGGAACAACCGCTATCGAGGATCCGACATTGAAGATGAAGACGATGATGACGTGTCTGATAGCCAAGACGAGGGCTCCTTCGTTTCTGACGATGACGAAGAAGAAGAAGAGGTCATGCCTGTCAATGCAGCCGGTCGTAGGTCAAGAAAGGCCGCGACCAAGCACAATAGCTACAAAGAAAGCGACGACGACGAATCCGACCCCGCCGAAGAGTCAGACGACGTGCTCTCTGAGGATTTGCCCAAGCCCAAGAAGAAGGACAGCTTAATGATCAAGCTCAAAGTGCCAAAGAATGCTTCGACGACCGCTCCCGGTGTTACTCGACGATCAACTCGTGCCCACACCGAGGAGTATGGCGAGGAGCATGTTGAACTCACCAATTCCGGCAAACATGGACGGCCTGCCTCGCGTTCTAGGAGCCCCGAGACCCTGGCCCGCACTCGATCTTCCCGCTCCATTAAGGGTTTGAAGAAGGGACCCGAGACAATTGAAGAGGCCACTCAAGAAAGCAGTGGTCCTCGGGAGGAAGACGTTGATGAATTGGCTGGCGATGCTGAGCAAGCCGTTGAAGAAACAAAGGATGCCGAGATGGAGGATGTCAAAGAATCGACAGAAATCGTCCAGGGAGACATCGTGGCCGAAGATGACGACGACGACGAAGACGAAGGTCCAATCGTCACGCGGCGAACCAGGGCAAAGAGAGGAAGTGGCTCTGGGCCTGCTGAGCCCGCCGAACCCGAGGCTGATGCTGAAGGCGAAGCCGACGATGACGTCCCCAAACGATCTGGGCGCCTAACTCGTCGCAACGGGCTTCGGAAATCGAAATCTGTTCAGGAGCCAAGCAGCGATTTCGAGCCCGGTGAAGAGTCAGCAGGGGAGGAAGATCGCATGTCTGAATCGCCCAAGAAGGATTCCGGCGACGGTGACGACGGTGATTTCGACAGCCCGGCTCCGCGCGGTAGGGCCGCCAAGCCAAAGGGTCGATCCACCCGGAGCTCGCGCCGTGGCGCCGAGTCAGCCGAGGAAGTCGAGCTAGACCAAGACGAGTTGGCCGAAGAGCTTCACGAGCTAAGGCAGGACTCCCGCTCGCGGCGTCCACGACGACCTTCACCCGCCATCATCTATCAAGAAACAGCATCCAAGCGACGCAGAGCCGCCGCGAAGCCCATGAACTACTTTATGCCACCCCTCTCTGCCGTAAACATTGAGGAAGATGATGGCGAAGATCCAGCCCCGACTCCTGCACGTCGTCGCGGTGGCCGGGGGGGTGCAAGTCAAGCCTGGGATCGCGCCCTCAACACAACATTTGGACCATTTGGGGGCGGAGGCGGCGCCGGGTCACTCCTTGGCGGGCCTTGGGGTTCCGGAATGGCCGCAGGAGGTGTCGATTCGGACAGCAGTGACGACGAAATGGGCCAACGATCAGGGCCTGCTGCTGGAAATGTTGGCATGACGCCCACATCGGCCGCCGCTCCAGCTGGACTTCTTCCTGGCCTTGCGCAACCTTTGGGTGGAGAGGGTGGCGTGGGAGCAGCTCCCAACGTTGGCAAGATCAAGAACCAGAAGGCTTTGGCAGATGCCGATCCTCTTGGAGTCGATCTGACTGTGGACTTTAATCATGTCGGTGGTCTTCAGGGTCACATCGATCAGCTAAAGGAAATGGTCCAGCTCCCTCTTCTATACCCCGAGCTGTTCCAGAGATTCCATGTCACGCCACCTCGAGGTGTTCTTTTCCACGGTCCACCCGGTACTGGTAAGACTCTGCTTGCTAGAGCTCTTGCCAATTCCGTGGGCGTTGGTGGGCGCAAGATCACTTTTTACATGAGAAAGGGAGCCGATGCTCTGAGCAAATGGGTGGGTGAAGCAGAGAAGCAGCTGCGTCTGCTCTTTGAGGAAGCCAGAAGAACACAGCCGAGTATCATTTTCTTCGATGAAATTGATGGTTTGGCTCCCGTGCGCTCCAGCAAGCAGGAGCAGATTCACGCTTCCATCGTCTCAACACTCCTGGCTCTGATGGACGGTATGGACGGCCGCGGACAGGTTATTGTAATCGGCGCCACCAATCGTCCTGACAACATCGACCCCGCTCTCAGACGACCCGGA